TATATATGTAGATTATGTTTTTTGGCGGGGGGGAGGTACTAATAAAATTTTCTTAAAGGTGGACAAGGGTATTTGAGGAAACAGTAGACGCCAATACGCGCAACATCAACCTTCTACGCTCGAACTACTTCCATAGCCATCCATCCATCCATCCATCCCATTATTCACTACCACTTACAGAGAACCTCAGAACCTCCAAGCTTACCTTACTAATACTTTTGAACGCCTCGTCCGCACCCGGGGCCTGGTTCTTATCCGGATGGAACGTCAGTGCCAGTTTACGGTACGCCTTCTTGATCTGTGCGTCGTTGGCGCCCTTCTCCACGCTTAGAATCTCGTAGTACCCTCTGCACTGCTTGATCCGTCTCACAGCCGCTGCTTGTTCGGGCGTGAACTCTCTGGGCGGCGAAGGGATCGAGGCTCGTCGCGGCGGAGGAGTCTGCAAGGCATAGGAGAGTGTACTTGAGCTCAGGACTTTAACTTAATCAGAGTGTACTTATGCTGGGGACTTTAACTTAATCAAAGGCCCATTCAGCTAAGGAAAAGGATAGGGAATGTACCTCTATCGTGAGCTACGAACTATCCCCTGACCACTAGTGTAGTGGACGTGCGTGTATAGGCATGACAGAAGGGCACATAACATACGCATACGAGTATGCGACAGAATAGTACCAGGCCATTATTTATAAGTCAAACTTGAAACTTTGAGAGGATACTTATGAGGGATCAACTGGGTTACAGTAAGCTCTAAAGCTCCATCGATATAACATGGCATATGTACAATCGGACGTACACATCGACACTTATTTTTATTTAACCAACCGTGAGAGCGCATGCCGATACGTACCTTTACTTTGGCACTGTCTTTGGTGTGGCGTCTGTGAGCGGTTGTGGAGTGGTGTGTGTGTGCTCCAGTATCCTGCACATAACAGAAAGCAAGAATCTATTTCAGAATTCGGGTAATGGGACCATATGTTCTCGCATGTGGTAGGAGCGGGTAATCATTTCCGAGCCTTTTTTTCAGGATCATTTTGCCCAAAAAGTACTAATGTATCACACAATATAGGTGTCGCACGTATATGCATACACACGGCGACAGACTATACCGAGGAAAGGACCACACATCGAAGATATGAACAAGTGTACCAATTCTTCACAATTGTACCAATTCTTCACATTTGTACCAATTCTTCACAATTGTACTAATTCTTCACAATTGTACCTATTCTGCATAATTGTACCAATTCTTCACAATTGTATCAATTCTTTAAGATTCCCGAGACAACTCTCACATAGAGACGCCTTTGGGAGCTGGTGCACAACATACATGTACGTACAAGGTATTAACGAGACAGAGTTCGTTATGGGCTGGCACAGGAGTTGTTTAAGCTACAACCACTCTCTCAGCAAACACATCCGAGACACCACTTGATATCACAGCTTACGTTCGGGAGTGTGATCAATAAAATAAACCTGACTGACATAAACCACACTCTCAGCAAACACATTCGAGACACCACTTGGTATCACAGCGGATGAGCCTGACTAACATAAACCACCCTCTCAGCAAACACATTCGAGACACCACTTGATATCACAGCGCACGTTCGGGAGTGTAATAAATAAAACAAACCTGACTAACATAAACCACCCTCTCAGCAAACACATTCGAGACACCACTTGGTATCACAGCGTACATTCGGGAGTGTGATAAATAAAATAAACCTGACTAACATAAACCACCCTCTCAGCAAACACATTCGAGACACCACTTCGTATCACAGCGTATGAGCCTGACTAACATAAACTACCCTCTCAGCTAACACATTCGAGACACCACTTGATATCACAGCGTACGTTCGGAAGTGTAATAAATAAAATAAACCTGACTAACATACAGTGGGTGGGTTCTCCGTGGCTTTCTGTGCTCTCAGTTCCATTTCTACCAGTAACGCTTTCGCGCGATCTGTGATAGGATGGTGCGTACAGGTTGGCATCAGTACATATAATAAAGAACTCTGAAGAAGCTACGTTCCTAGCGCTATCTGTGATAAGATGGTGTGTACAGGTTGGCATCAGTACATATAACAAAGAACTCTGAAGAAGCTACGTTTCTAGAGCTGGCAATTGAGACCCCACATGGCCACTGCACACTAACTGATAGGGAAGAAGCGAGGTACTCCCCTCAAGCCGAGCTGCATTTAGCATGCCTATGTGTAAACTGTGCCAAAGATCACCAACACTAAGTAGCGCACGTATTCCGTACCCAGTATCCACATGCAAGGGTGTATATATTGTATGTTGATTGATAAAGAGCAGAGTATAGTGTACTTACGAATAAATATTGCTCAAAGCAGGAAACCCATGCCGGTTGCTGAATAAAAGAATATAGAACACAAACTATGTTGGACACGTATCGCAACATAACTAACAGCATACTTCATACTACGGAGAAAATAGAATACAAAATAAAAAAACTAATCACATATAGTAACATGCCATGAATATATATATAATGTTGCACACACACACACACACACACACACACACATATATATATATATATATGCACACACACACACACACACACACACACACATACACATAACAACA